CCAGAAATGATTCCAGGCAGTCTCAACCAGCTTTAGGCACAAAGAGGTCGCAAAGAACAGTCCAGCCCGTGCTTTATTGGACCCACACTGTGTTGTAAAAGTATTTGAATTTTTAAAATTCTGAGGGTTCACTTTAAAATCCTGGTTTCCTTGGGGAAAAATCCCAGAAGTTCTGGCATCCCCAGGCTCAGCCACATTCCTGCACAGCAGGATTTGCCGGCTGCAGCTTCTCCCACCTCCCCCAGGCCTGCCGCACTCACGGGTGGTTTCCTGCACAGGTAGCACTCCCGCTGACCCGGGAGGGGCCGGAGCGGGGTGGGCTGCGGTGAGGGATGTCTGCCTCCACCCCACTGCATTTTCTCAATAAAGAGCAGGGGTATGAGTGCCTTGAGGGAAGGGTCCAAGGCCAGCCTGATAATTTTTCTGGGCACGTAGCCCCGTTTTCCTCTCCTCCTAGAGGACATAAAGATTCCCCATTGCCCTTAAGGTTCAATAATTCCACCAGGAAGTGTCTAGATGTTGGATATGCTTCATAAATATTGACTACTTTTTTTTCAAAGCATTGCTGTGAAGTCTTATTTATTATTATTACTTTTTGAGATGGACTCTCACTCTGTCACCCAGGCTGGAATGCAGTGACATGACCTTGGCTCACTGCAACCACAGCCTCCCGGGGTTCAAGCAATTCTCTGGCCTCAGCCTCCCGAGTAGCTGGAATTACAGGTGTCCACCACCACGTCTGGCTAATCTTTGTATTTTGTTAGTAGAGACGGGGTTTCCACATGTTGGCCAGGCTGGTCTCGAACTCCTGACCTCAGGTGATCCACTCACCTCGGCCTCCCAAAGTGCTGGAATTACAGGCTTGAGCCACCACACCCGGCCTATTGACTATTTTTGATCCCTTCTTTGAATCTCTAACTCAAGTTTTCCTTTATTTCAGGAAAGATTTCTCCCACAGCATTTTAAAAAATCTTTTCCATTATTCTTTTTCTTTATTCTCACCATGATTTCCTCTATGTAAAAAAATCGTATTGTTTGTTTATGTGAGGTCACACTCAAAAATGGGAGGGCTTAAATAAGAAAAGCCCAGTTTCAACAGATGTGCCGACCACAGCTCAGCTCTGTTTTTCATGTATTTAATTTTTACTGCTCTGTGTTCTGATCGCTTCTTGTGCACACCAGTTACCCGTATTAACTGGCTCCACATCCATCCCCTTCTCCATATTAACTGGCTCCACATCCATCCCCTTCTCCATTTTGTTTAGTATCTTTGGTGATATTGTTTTTTTGTTTTTTTTTTTTTTTGAGGCAGAGTCTCACTCTGTCGCCCAGGCTGCTGGAGTGCGGTGGCGCCATCTCAGCTCACTACAAGCTCCGCCTCCCGGGTTCCCGC